TTCAGCTCAGGTCATGATCTCACGGTTTTGTGGGTTTGAGCCACACATCAGACTCTGCACTGGCAATGCAGAGCCTGCTTGGGATTCTCTGTCTCCTGCTCTCTCTACCCCTCCCCACGGTCTCTGTCTCTCTCAAATAAATAAATAAACTTAAAAAAATAAAAAATAAATAAAGTCTGTTAAATTGACCACATTAAACACAACGTTGCAAATAACTCATGCTCATGTGATAAGAGTTGTTATTTTAGGAACGCATTTAAGGATGCAATCTTCCAGCAGAAAAATTGTCAGGAAAAAATGTGATGCTACTTAATAAGTTTCCATCAGTAAATTCTACAGTAATTAATAGCCCCAAAGGAAACCCACGGCCAGCTAACACGAGCTAGAAGCTACTCATCTCTATTTCATTGGTTTTAAGGGTGTTCTTAATCCTAAAGTAATCAGGATTGGTTGACTTATAACTGTTTTAGGCAGTTACGATTTGGAAATTAGAATGCAGTGCTCCCAGAGCATGCCTTAAGAAACTGTTGTGATTGGTGGTGTTGGAAAGGAAATAGGAGGGCAATGAGGGAGTAAGCTGTCTCCAAATGTCTAGTAAGATGACAAGCCCTGGGGTGCCTGGGTGGCTCAGTTGGTTGAGCATCCAACTTCAGCTTGTGGGATCAAACAGCTTGTGGGTTCGAGCCCCATGTTGGGCTCTCTGCTGACAGCTCAGAGCCTGCAGCCTGCTTCCAATTCTGTGTCTCCACCCTCTCTGCCCTTCCCCTGCTAGTGCTCTGTTTCTCTCTGCCCCTTCCCTGCTTGTGCTCTGTTTCTCTCTTTCTCTCAAAAATAAATAAACATTAAAAAAATTTAGAGGATGACAGGTCCTCTCTCAAGTGGTAATGGTCCCGTGTTGTTGCTTGGTGATGGGCAGCTTAAAGTTGCCGGAGACATCTGGTTTGAAGCAGTGCTTCTCAAAATATGGTCTCTGGTACATGTGGTAATTCTGGTGCATAAAGAATCTTTGGAAATTTCATTCCTCTCATAATAATGAGGGCTCATTATGACTCTACCTAGTCTTAAGTGTGATTCAAAATGATGATAATAATAATGTTGATAATGACTTTCACTGAGGACTTACTTTGTGCCAGGCATGGTGCTCAACACTTCATATGCATTATCTGACCCAGTTTTCACAATAACCCTCAGAAATAGGTATCATTATTTTTTCCATTTTACAGATGAGAAAACTGAGGCACAGAAATAAGGAACAGGTCCAAGGTCACAAAATTAATTAGTGGCAGAGCCAGGATTCAAATCATGATAGAACTCCAAAATATATGCTTTAAATATTGTGGTAGAATCACATAAAATTTACTATTGTAGTCTTTTTTTTTTTCTTGTACATCACAGATACATTTATTCATGCCACAAAAGAAATAATACATCTGCAGGTGCACAGCGATACTCCATGTTCCCATCTAACAGCTGGCTGAAATTTACAGCCAGACTGATGTCGCATCTGATGTGTACTCCAGGTAAAGCTGGTTAATGATGACCATGAACAGGTGCCGGACTCAAAGCTTTCCCAGCTTTACTTCTTTTATCAGCACAACTGATTTTATAATTTTATAAACAATGAAGCCCATCAATCCCCTTCCTACCTAAATCTCCTGGTTAGCTTGGACAGTGTGGGGCCTCATGGGGACCTAAACATTTTTAACAAGGATTTGAGGCATCTCAGTGCAGGACCCCTGTCTCAGGCTACCCCAATCCTCATAGCCAAAAACTCGGAAAGGTGTGCTATTGTAGCCATTTTAAAGTGTACAATTCAGTGGTATTTACTACATTCACATTTGGTACAACTAACACCACTATAAATTCCAGAAAAATTTCCTCACCCCAAAAGGCAACTTCATGCACCTTAAATGGTCGCTCCCCATCTCCTTTCCCCCCTACCCCTGGCAACCACTAATCTGATTTCTGTCTCTATGGATTTGCCTATACTGGACATTTTATATAAAGGGGCATACAATTTGTGGCCTTTTGTATATGGCCATAATGTTTCAACATTCATTTATATTGTAGCATGTATAAGTACCTCATTCCCTTTTATACACAAATATTAATCCATTGTACCACATTTTGTTTATCCATTCATCCACTGATGTATATTTGGGCTGTTTCCACCTTTGAATATTGCAAGCAGTACTGCCACGAACACTCATGTACAAGTTTTTGTTTGAACACCTGCTATCAATTCTTTTGGGTAAAAAGAATAGGCTTTTGATCATAAACCTCTGCTGACTCCAAAAAGGAGATGACTGAATATCTTAAAATATTCATTCAGCAAATATTTACTGAGAACCTACCACACAACTACCCAGAATTTGAAGCACTGGGCATGTAAACTGCAACGAATAAGAAAGCAATGAATGACAGGCATCATCCCTATCCTCCTCAGGAATGACAGAAAATTAAATGAGTAAAACACAAACCTGGCAGCAGTCATGCTGGTGATGACTCACCTGAGCAAGAAGCTCTAAGGTGATGCTTTTGAATCAAGACAAATAAAACTAAGAGCAGATTAAACAATAATGTTATTTATCCTCTTATATAATAAATCTGAGGTAGGGAGTCTTCCCAGTGGGATAAATCAGCACCAAGGAATTAGGTTTTCTCTACCCTTCTGCTCTGCCATTCTCATAGCTGCAATAAGGAACAGCAACTCTAGGCATTACGTCTTCCTCACATAACAAAGAGCAGAGAACAGAGGTGGGAAATAACAGATCCCTTCTCAATCCCTTTTTAGATATAAGAAAAATGTTCCCAGGAATCTTCCATAATAGTTCCCCTCAGGGAAGATTTGCACCAGGAGCTTATTCCTACACCAATCATTGGCAAGGGAATGGAATTAGAGTGCATGATTAGGATTAAGCAAGTTTGAGGTTGATAAGCCCAGCTTCCCCTGGGGCATACAGCCACCTGATGTCCTAACAAAATACAGGTTCTGGGAAAATGTAAGAGGAAAAGGAAGGAGTGGGATAGACAGGTGCCAGGCAAAACTTCCTGGAGGACTGTCCAGTGCAGAGTCCTCTGAGTTCCAGTTCTCAACTGAAAGAAAAAAAAGGGGGGGGGGGGGGGGGGCGCCGGGGTGGCTCAGTCAGTTGAGTTCGAGCCCCGCGTCGGGTTCTGTGCTGACAGCTCAGAGCCTGGAGCCTGCTTCGGATTCTGTGTCTCCCTCTCTCTGCCCCTCCTCTGCTCATGCTCTGTCTCTCTCTGTCTCAAAAATAAATAAAAACATTAAAAAAAATTTTTTAAACCCTCAATATGTCCAAAACTAACTCATGATTCCCATCAAAATGGTCTCCTCCAGTGTTCTATCTCTTTGGAATGCACCACCATTCCAGCTGCACAAGCCAGAAATAGGAGTCATCATACCCTCTTCATTTCCCTCAACACCCATATCTAACGCATCACCAGGTCCTGTTGATACAACCTCCCAAACAGCTCTTGAATCAATGAGTCTCTTCACCTCCACTCAACCATTCTAATTCAAGTCACTGTCATCAACTCTTCTCTGGAGTTCTGCAACAATCTTTTGCTTGGTTTCCTTACATCTATTTGGACCTGCCTCCAACCTAGTCCTTCACAGTGCAACTAGAGTAGCCTTTTCAAATACATGCTTAGGCTTAAAATTTGCTTCCTATTGCTCCTGGGGGGGGGGGGGGGAAGCTGTCCCTCAGCTCTTTGCAATCCAGTTACAATGGTATCCTCTGAGTTTCAATGGGTTGTGCTCCATCCCACCTCAAGACATCTTCACGTGTGGTTGCTCCTGCCCCTGTCATCCTTGGTAGTATGTCAGTTTAACCGTCACTTCCCTGGGAAAGCCTTTCCAGGCCTCCTAATTAGGTCAGGTCTCTGCTACTGGCGCGTAGAAAAGTCTGTCCCTTCCTTTACCGCACTCTTCTGTCTCTAGACTAAGATCCGCAAAAACACGGAGCTAGTATCTCTTACAACATAATGCCTGGCACATAGTAAGTGTTCAATATGTAGTTGAATGGCTAGATGAACATATGAACTTCAAAGATGAGTGGCCCACAACCAATGTGTATCCAGCGCCAGAGAGAATACCAATAATGGCCGTGACCCACCCGCACAGCGGGGCCGCCCGGACTACAGGACTCGTTGCTCCTCCCAGTAGCTCCGCCCCTGTGCCCCGCCCCTCTCTGCTGAGTCGGGGGGAGGGGCATAGAGGTCGCGTGACGTGACAGCCTCCGGCCGCTGATTGGGCTTCCAGACGCGCCGACTAGGAAAGGGGGCGTGTCTGCGTGTGCTGATTGGCTGTCGGGCGGTGGCTGGGCGGGCAGCGGCGGCGGCGGCGCGGGGGCGGGGGCGGGCGCGGGGAGGGCCGGGACCGGGCAGGGCTGGGAGGGCGGTAGCAGCGGGCGGGATGGGTCCTCGCCGCCGGTTTTTCTGAGACTCGCTCGCGTGGGCTGCTAGCGGCGGGCCCGCAGTGGCCGCGGCGGCATGAAGGGCGCTCTGGGGAGCCCCGTGGCCGCGGCCGCCGCAGGCGCCGCGATGCAGGAGAGTTTCGGCTGCGTCGTGGCCAACCGCTTCCACCAGCTGCTGGACGACGAGTCGGACCCGTTCGACATCCTGCGCGAGGCCGAGCACCGGCGCCAGCAGCAGCTGCAGCGCAAGAGGCGCGACGAGGCAGCGGCGGCGGCCGGGGCCGGCAACCGCGGCGGCAGGAGTCCGGCCGGGGCCTCGGGCCACAGACCTGGCGCGGGCGGCGGCCGGAGGGAGTCCCAGAAGGAGCGCAAGAGCCTCCCGGCCCCTGGCGCGCAGCAGCCGGACAGCCCCGGGGGCGGCCCGCTGCCACCCGGTACGCGCGCCCCGCCGGGCACCTGGGCACCCCCGGGTAGGCGCAGTGGGCGGGAGGGGAAGGAGAATGGGGTCACGGAGGTCACCCCTCCTCTGCCGTCCCTCGACCCTCACTGTGAGACCGGGGTCAGAGGGTCTTGATCCAGAAAGGGAAGGGGCTCCTGGGAAGACGGGTTAAATTGAGGGTCCTTGTGGCGGAGGAAGGTAGGAAAAGAGAACGGGAGGGGGTGTCACGCCCCTTCTGGCCTTTTCCAGCCCCTTGGGCGGGGGGCGGCGTGCTGGCTTGGAATAGGGGTCTCAGAATCCCAGAACTGAGCGATTACAAGTTGGGCAAAGTTGAGGGATAATGTTGGGGTAGTGTTTGTCGGGATAACTAGGGTCGCTACCCCGGGCGCTCAAATCTAGAGCTAGCAGGGACGGTCTCCATCCTCCAGCCCAACCTCTGCAAAATTCGGGTCGGGAGGTCAGAAGAGAAGCGTGGTGGGGAAGGAGGGAGGGTGAGCAAGGAGGGCGCACCCGGCCTCTGGGGGTGGTGGCGAGAGCCCAGGGTGTGTGAGGAATCGTGGGGATGAGGGGCTCGGGCCTCTGTGATGGAGCGAAGGCCTGGGTGACCGCGGGGGCGGGCTGTGACGTCAGGGCCGCGAGCCGAATGCGGCGGGGGCGGACGCGGGGTCCCCGGCTCCTGCCAGGCTCCGTGCTTTCACCCCATCCCCTTACTGTAGCTTCCAGCAGTCAGCCGGCATCATTTTTCAATACAGCATGTTGTGTCGTTGGGACGTGTAACTTGTCATTAAGTCAGGCTGCTTTCAGAAAAGCGTTTTTTAACCTTTAACCCTTTTAAATAAGAATATTCAAAGTTCCCCACAACCTATTTAGCCAGGTACCACTGTCCGCATCCAGCGAGGGAGGGTACCTAAGAGTCGTTCATCACCTGAACTGCATCAGTTCGTAGTCTGTAAGACTCCACCTGTATTTCCTCTGTTTTCCTAAAATAAAGCAGTGGTCCTAAGGTTTGCTTAAAAAGAGTGTTAAGATTAAGATCTGTCATTCGACCACTTGAGCCAGTGTTTGGCATTGTATTCAACTGGACTTTGCTGGCTTGTTCCTTGCTTGATGACAGTTGTGCATCCCAGCCCTGAGATTACAACTCTGATTTAAGTGTTGGGTCTTTGACTCGTGCAGCTAGGTAATGTTTGCTTTACTTTTGTCTGTGAAAACTTCAGTCCAGCAATATCCCCTGAGAAATAGAAAATCAAGTCACTATAATAAAGATATTGAAAATTATTTTCAATGCTTTTGGATATTTTAAGACCCCATGCTAGTAGGCCAGCACATTTATGAGCCTATTTAAACAGTGAATGAGACGTGAGATATATTGTACGTTTTGTGTTCTGATTTTTCTCATAAATCTATTTAGATACAGTAGTGAAAGAATTGACTAAGGCTAAGCTTTTCCTCTCCCTTTTCTTTTTAACAGATGAAAATAATGTATTTTATCCTTTAAAGTAGTGTGAAACTGCAGTTAGTGATGTTAATATACTGCTTTTTAACCTTTTTAATATTAAAAATCATGAATTTTTATCTTATAACAAAAATTTATAAAATTTTTGTAAATTTTGAACAATTCTGAAATGTATGAAGTAAAGCAAAAATCTATTTTTATTACTGGTTAACACCTTGTATTTATGTACAAACAGAGCTATTTCTTTTTTTCTAAATTTAAATGATATGTAAACTGAGTTGCAGCTTGCTTGTTTAACTTAGCATTGTAATCTAGTGGGTTTATAACTTTTTTCTGTCAATTGTTCATAATCCAGATGACCTGGGTTTTGAGATCTATATTAAAGATTCTTAGTTAATTTTGTAGGTAGGATGGAAATTTTGTCATCCTGGTTCTTTTTCAAGTAAATGTTATTTCAGGAGCAAACAGCTCATTAATTTCCATTTATATAGTTAGTACTAAATTTATAGAGAGCTACTCTCTCAAGGTTTTGTAGCCCTAATTAATATGGACTGTACCTTTCTAACATTCAAAATTTTTAATTTAGTTAGAATATTATAAATGAATGCTCAGTGTAGAGAAGAATCAAAGTCAAAACATGTTTGACATATATTGGAAATATTTTTGGATGTGAATGTGGAAATCACAAGATCTTCCCATGGAAACAGAGGTTTTTAATGCCCTTCAATATTTAACCCTTGGTGAGCCTTGTTTTATAAACTCGTTACTGAAATCTACAGAGACTGTTTTCAGCTTTGCTTTTCCTAGCCTTTCAGAACTATTGTCTTTGAGTGAAAGCTCAACTTTGTTTTGTAGGAAATCTTACTGTAAATTTTATTGTATTCTGCCCCTTCATATGGGCTTGGGTTTAGATCAGTGATCAGACAGCATGTGCCGGCGTTTTATTGGAAAGGGCTAGAGAAATTCAGTGTTTGCATTATCCGCTTGGAGCTGCTGACCCAGCACAGAAAAACAAACTAGGTTTAGTTGCAATCTTGATCGCTTAGCACTAAATTGTGGGGGGAAAACTGGACCCCTTTTATCTTTGGGTTTTGGGGAGACAGATGTTTGCAGTGTATTCATAATTATTCTAATAAATATCCAGTTACATTTAATGGTATTTTTAATGTTTGTTTTGAGAGAGAGAGTGCACACATGCGTGTGCACATGAGCAGGAGAAGAGCAGAGAGAGAGGGAGAGAAAATCCTAAGCAGGTTCTCTGATGTCAGTGCAGAGCCCCAAGTATGGCTCGATCTCATGAACCATGATAGCATGACCTGAGACCAGATCAAGAGTTGGACACTTAACCAGCTGAGCCACCCAGGTGCCCCTATATAATTTTTAAAATTTTATTTTTTAAGTTTGTACACCAAAACTTTGGAAGAAGTTTTAATATAAAGTATGCAGTAAATGTCATTTTAAGTTTTGAATGGTGAATTCCAAATTTAATACAATATAAAAAAAAAAACAAACAACCTTGAGGAAGCAAAGAGGTAGAATAAGCTCCTAAGTAATTTTGTAGCTGAGTGGAGATACTAAAGGTTTTTTTTTTTTAATTTTTAACGTTTATTTATTTTTGAGAGAGAGAGAGCGTGAGCAGGGGAGGGGCAGTGGGAGAGGGAGACACAGAATCCAAAGCAGGCTCCAGGCTCTGAGCTGTCAGCACAAAACCTAATGCGGAGCATGAACCCACAAACCATGAGATCATGACCTGAAGTCAGACACTTAACTGACTGAGCCACCCAGGTGCCCCAGGTTTTATTTAAAGATAGGTTATAGGGGCGCCTGGATGGCGCAGTCGGTTAAGCGTCCGACTTCAGCCAGGTCACGATCTCGCGGTCCGTGAGTTCGAGCCCCGCGTCAGGCTCTGGGCTGATGGCTCGGAGCCTGGAGCCTGTTTCCAATTCTGTGTCTCCCTCTCTCTCTGCCCCTCCCCTGTTCATGCTCTGTCTCTCTCTGTCCCAAAAATAAATAAAAAAATAAAAAAAATAAAGATAGGTTATAAATAGGAAATTTGAAGCTGTATTAAAATAATGTTTTTGCATTGAAGGAAAAGTATTGTCACTATTGACATATCAGCTGATTGCTGTTATGTCATACTCTATTACAATTTTCAACTTGTTAGATAATAAACTTCCAAAATAACATTTTCTACCTCACATTCCAAATTTGATCTCTATTACCTGCCCTCATTTGGCATTGCATACTCCCGGGACAAGTGTCACTCTCTGTTTTGTTTCTGCAAGAGAAACAATGATCTATTATGAGAAAGATAACATCTTTCCCATTTCCCAAACACGTCACAAGCTCAGATTGTAACATCAGTACAGGATGCAAATCCGATTTAAGGGACATTAACTTAAGACTGAACTTAGATTTATTGTGGAACTTTTCACATTGAAAAAATACTTTATGTTAACAAGTAATAAATTGCACAATTTTATGTTTGTGGTGTCACAGACTTGACTTCTGCTTTAAAATGGAATCAGTAAGATACTGGAACTATGTTACTATGTACATGTGCCCAGTACAAAGTTCAGATAGAAGCTATTCAGTAGGAAGACAAAAAAATATGTGTAAACATATATTCCTTAAAAGTTACATATATCTGTCTAAGAGAGGAATCCGGGACTTTAAAAATTACTCATTACTTCAAATACATTTAATATTTTGATGGCTCAGTTGGTTAAGCATCCAACTTTGGCTCAGATCATGATCTCATGGGCTCCTACATCGCATTTAGGCTCTCTGCAGTCAGCGCAAAGCCCACTTCAGATCCTCTGTTTCCCACCCCACCCCCACCCCTTCCCTGCTCATGCGCGCTCTCTCTGTCTCTCAAAAATAAACATTAAAAAATTTTTTTGATAGCCATACAACCAATGTGAAGGGTATAAATTATACCAAGGAAAATCGAAGCTACTGTAATAAAAATGGTACATCATGTTTGAGATAGAGAGCTTTTAAATATCTTTTTTTTAAGAAAAATAAGATGCATTTTTAGAAGATGATTTAAGAAGTGACAAAGTTCCTTACAACGTACTTACCAAGTGTTAGCTGCTTTCAGACATAGACTCTGCTTAAAATTTTTAAAGCATCAAAACTAGAGAGGAGTAAAGTGAGAGAGAGGCCTGGAATGGCCCTGGCTGGGTGCTGGCCTTTCTGTGAACGAGAGATGCCCCCTTCCAGTGCTGTCCCTTGGATCAGTTGGTATATAGCAGTTTGGCCTCATATTGAAAAGTATGGTCATAAATGTATAAATTCCATCAAAGATCAAGAGAGCAGGAAAATCTGTTTTCAAACAAAAAAAGATAATAGCAGTACAGAACTGTATTTAGAAATGAAAACCTTAGTAGCCAATGATAAACCATAGTTTATCTGAAAGTACAATCTGACATACAGGGCATTTATCCTTTAATATTCTGTATGGAGTGTAGCTACCATGTTTTAATAAAACTGCTGTTGACAACTGTAGTTAATTTAGCAAATGTGTGTATCCATAGCTGTCACAGTCATTGTGAGTTACCTGTAATTATAGGTTGGTTGGTGTAGTTTATCTTATATTTTCTAGGACAGAAGGGAAAGAAAACCTAAGTATCTTAAAAGTTTTATGAGGAAGTACAGTTGACCCTTGAGCAACCAGGGGGTTAGGTTGAAACCAGGTTTCAAGCCGTGCAGTTGAAAATCCACATATAACTTTGAACTTCCCAAAAACTTAACTACTAGTAGCCTACTCTTGACTGGAAGCCTTACCAGTAATAGTCAATTAACATTTATTTTGTATATGTAGTATATATTCGTAGGGCAGATAAGCTAGAGAAGAGAAAATGTTAAAATTATAAGGAAGAGAAAATACATTTACACTTCTGTACTGCATCTGAAAAATTCTGTAAGTGGGCCCATGCACTTCAAACCTGTGTTGTTCAAGGGTCGATGGTATTTGACTGTGGGCTACGATGATATCCATAACTTTTTTCTTCTCTGAACGTTTCCAAACTTCCTGGATTTTCCTATGATGTTGACTTCTAGAAAAGTGGAATTTAAAACTCCCTGTAGGTGTGCTTTCATGGACCTGGTGTCCCAGCTGTCCCTTCTGATTTGGCAGGCCAGAAGCGAGCTCCTAGAAGAGGGGAGCAGCAGGGATGGAATGACAGCCGGGGGACGGAGGTGACACTTGACAGAGCAGAGCGGAGATCCTACAGGGAATATCGACCCTATGAGAGCGAGAGACAGGCAGACTTTACATCTGAGAAGTTCACGGATGAAAAGTACGTACTGCAGACCTTGGTCAGGAGGGTGGGGGGAACCAGGAGGGTTTTACTAGAACTGTTAACCTTTGCAACCTTGGCAGTCACTTTAGGTGACACAGGAAGGATCTTCCATTTATTTCTTGGGTGACCTTAAGTCTTGGTTCAGGAAATGATGTAAGGTGAAAAATGAGTTATTTATTGGTAACTACACAAAGCACTCTTGTAAAGAAAAAAACTACACAGGAGTCTGTTAAACTGGTTAAATTTTCTTTTGCAGTTGAAGCTAAGCATTAATTATGGTTTTGATTTAACATTACTAATTTAGACTACTAACAAATTTAAACAAGTTCCTAGCCCCATGGTTAGGTCACTTGGCTATCATGATGACATTTTAAGAAAAACTGATACAGTGTATAAAACCAATTTATGGCTGCCATACCTTCTTCTAGAAAGTGCTCTGATCTGGAAGGTAGTCTTGGGCTGGTGCAGCCTGACACCGCTCCTGACCACCCGTGCCTGCCTGTACACACGTAGCGGTTCTTTGTGTCTTATGCTTGGCCCTAACAAGACAGATGCTTACTGCCTAAAGTTTGTGTTAAATTATTCAACCTTCATAGCACTGAGTTTAGATTAAACTGAAACAACTTGTGAATCACATTTAAAGGAAAATAGGTTAAAAAAAAAGGCTAAAGGAGACTAGAATAGTGTACGTTGACACTATTAGCCGTCAACAGTTTAATGTCAAGGGAGCCGTTATTCCCAAAGTATTCCAAGTTCTTGACTATTGATTCCATTTAGGATCCTGGCTACAAGTTTTAACCAAAGGACATGTAAAAACTATGTTCATTAAAACACCACCTCATTAAAACACCACCCCTTCCCCCAAAAGACCCCCAGAAGTCCAGCAGAGAGTAGCTCAGTCTGAGAAGGCTGAGCAGCTGGTGGGCATACTCCCACAGATGTATTCCCTAGAAATTACATATTGAGAACATCAGGCTAGTGTATCTGCCACCATATTGGAGCGTGAGGGTTAGAGAAAGGCTTAATTCTGCTATTTTTGGAGAGTACTTCAATTTTGCTGTGTAATGGCCATAGTCTGCTTGCTTACAGAAAGACTTCTGGATCAGAGCTGCTTATTTGGGGAAGCATATGTGTATTTTTTTTTTCTCACTTCAGGGATTTATTCTGTGGAAATAAGGAAATTATAGCTCAAAAGCACAAACTCATGTTTCCAGCTTTTTTTAGTAGCTAAACTATGAGTCTTTTAAAAGGATGAGTATATGTTAACACAAAATGATGCCTATTAAGTGAAGTCATACATGAGGATAGGGGTAGAGTGGGGTATGGGATTATGGAGGGATTTTTCTTTTTTCTTTAAAAATAACTTCAGATTTATTGGGGTGCCTGGGTGGCTCAGTCCGACTTCGGCCCAGGTCATGATCTCATGATTCATGGGTTCAAGCCCCGCATCAGGCTCTGTGCTGACTGCTTGCTCAGAGCCTGGAAGCTGCTTCAGATTCTGTCTCATTCTCTCTCTGCCCTTCCCCTGCCCACGCTCTGTCTCACTCTGTCCCTCAAAAATAAATAAATGTAAAAAAAAAAAAAATGAAAACTTCAGATTTATAGAAAGTTGCAAGAATTATACACAGAATTCCCATATACCTTCATCCAGATTCCCCAACTGTTAACATTTGCTTTATCATACCCCCTCCCTCTCTCTGCCTCTCTCCTTCCCTTACACACACACACACACACACACACACACACCTTTTTTCTTTGACATTTAAAGTGCAGATGGGGCGCCTGGGTGGCTCAGTCAGTTGAGCGTCTGACCTCAGCTCAGGTCATGATCTCACAGCTCGTGGGTTTGAGCCCCGAATCCGGCTCTGTGCTGACAGCTCGGAGCATGGAGCCTGCTTCGGATTCTGTCTCCCTTTCTCTCTCTGCCCCTCCCCCACTCATGCTCTGTCTCTCTCTCTCTCTCTCTCAAAAATAAACACTAAAAAAAATTTAAAAAGAGTAAAGTGCAGAAATACCTCTTTATCCCTAAATACTTTAAATGTATTTCCTAAAAACATTGTACAATTATCAAACATATTAACCTTGATACATTACTATTATCTAATTCTCTATATCATGTAATCTACAGAGTACTCAAATTTCACCAGTTGTCCTATAATGTCCTTTTAGCAAAAGAAAAAAAATGCCTGGTTCAGGATCCAGTCCAGAGTGTGCACTGCATTTAGTCGTCTTTCATTTGGAACAGCTCTTTACTCTTCCTTTATCTTTGACTTTGACATGTCGGAAGAGGAAGGACCAGTTATTTTGTACAACAGCTCAGAACTGAGTTTGTCTGGAACAATGTCATGCACTTTGGCAGGAATACCACACAAGTGAGGTCTTGTGTCCTTCGCAGTGTATCATGTTAGGTATATGGAGGGAAATTTTACTTTCAAGGAAATGTGAAATTATTTTTGATAAATCATGTGCTATCAGAAAAGATATTTTCCTTAGTACTCTTCTATTAATAAAGATCCATAAGACAATTTGGATAGTTTAGAAAATGCATACAATTATAAAGAAAATTAAAGCCACTTATCTTACCATTTAAGGTAATTACTTTTAACATTTGGACTAATTTTTTCCTTTTTTTAAATACATAGATATACTTAAATATTAAGATGATAATACATATATACTGAGTGCTTTATATTCTTTCTTTTTCCATTTGACATGGTCAAAGTCATTTCCATGTCACTAACAATGTTTGGTAAACATTTTCTTTTAAATTTTTTTGAAAGAGAGCATTTGCAAGTGGGGGAGGGGCAGAGGGATCAGGAGGGAGAGAATCCTAAGCAGACTCTACGCTCAGTGCAGAACCTGTCATGGAGCTTGATCACTCAACCGTGAGATGATGCCCTGAGCCAAAATCAAGAGTCAGACGCTTAGCCACCCAGCTGCCCTGTGAATTTTTGGTAAACATTTTTTTTTAATGTTTTTACTTATTTTTGAGACTGAGAGAGAGAGAGAGAGAGAGAGAGAGAGAGAGAGACAGAGCACAAGTGGGAGAGGTCCATAGAGAGAGGGCTAGACAGAATCCGAAGCAGGCTCCAAGCTTTGAGCTGTCATCATGGAGCCCAATGCAGGGCTCAAACTCATGAACTGTAAGATCGTGACCTGAGCCGAAGTAGGACGCTTAACTGACTGAGCCACCCAGGCGCCCTGGTAAACATTTTAATGGCTCTATTATGAGCTGTTGTGGATGCAGTACAGTGTAATAATTTCCTTAGTGTTGGACCTTCTCTAGATGGAAGTTCTAGAAATGGGAACCCCAGTTAGGGCCATAAAGCAGTGGTTCTCAGCTGGGTGTCATATATTAAAACCTGGGACCCAGTTTGTGCTTCAATGCAAGTTTGGATGGGTGCATGTAGTGTGAAAACAAATTGGAGTCAGGGGGATCTTTTGATATGTAGTGACCAATCACTGTCTTAGTAACCTGTCCATTTACTCTGTCACTAACAATCTAGAGCATTTCTCCTAGCTCTTTCTGCAGAGTTGAATATAATAAACTTTGATCTTGGCTTATTTGATAGTGAAAAATGGTGTCACCTTGCATTTCTGTGATACCTATACATATTTATTGGGCAGAATTATTGAATCTTGATAATCTTAACAGACTGTCTAATTCAGTCCTCTCAATTTATGGATGAGGAAACAAAAACCCGGAGTTTCAGTGATGGCTATTGTGGTCACAGCCAGCTCATGTGATTTTTATTCCACTAAAGCAGAACACATATTTTCACATCGAAGCGGTGTCATAAGTGGTGCTAGGAGTAACTGTCCATGTGGCTCAGGTGCAGAGATCAACCAGGACACTTCCAGATCACTGTTTTTAATGTATAAGGAATTTTTCTTTAGGCTCCAAATGATGAACCTAAGTGAATTCTTTGAACATAGGCTATTAGGAAATTAGCCTACCTCTGTCTGGATATATTTTGACTCTTTCTTTGGCTCTTCTTGAAGTTTAGTGCTGGTCATTCAAAGTCAGTTCCAGTTCTGAAAGAATCACTTACTCAGATGTTTAACTTTTTTTTCCTCCTCATATGGAAATAGTTGAGAAAAATTGGGGTAAAATATACGTAACATAATGTACCATTTTAGGGGCACCTGGGTGGCTCAATCAGTTAACTGTCTGACTTCAGCTCAGGTCACGATCTCATGGTTCATGGGTTTAAGCCCCACATTGGGTTCTGTGCTGACAGCTTAGAGCCTGGAGCCTGCTTTGGATTCTCTCTTTCTCTCTGCTCCTGCCCCACTCTCACCCTGTCTCTCTCTCAAAAATGAATAAACATTAAAAAAAATTTTTTAATGTATCATTTTAACCACTTATAAATGTGTGATAGTACGGTGGCATGAAGTACATTCACATTGTTGTGCAACCATCCCCATCATCCATCTTCAGAACATTTTTATCTTCCCCACCTGAAACTCTGTACCCATTAAACACTAATTCCCCATTCTCCCCTCCACAAACATCATTCCCTTTATCTGTAAAACAGGTACTCATGCCTAGTTAATTAGGATTGTTGTTGGAGAGTGGATTACAGGGATGTAAAGCATGATGCTTGGCTGAAATGTTATTTTCCATCCTTTTCCTTGTGAGTACATAACAAATAAAGATTCCTAAGTGGATACAGGATTTCTCAATGCTCCCTTGCCTGAATAAAAAGAGGATATGTTTTATCGTTCTAATTTTTAGTATATGTGCTGCCAACATGAGCACAAAGAGGGTATATTTTATAAGCAAGAAGCAATTGAGAATATATATATTTAAAGTGTGTTTGTGAGAGACAGAGAGTGCACAAATGAGCGGGGGGGGGGGGGGCGGGGGGCAGAGAGAGAGAATCCCAAGCAGGCTCCAGGCTGTCAGCACAGAGCCCAACACGGGGCTCGAGCTCATGAACTATGAGATCGTGACCTGAGCTGAAATCAAGAGTTGGATGCTTCACTGACTGAGCCACCCAGGTGTCCTGAGAATATGGGGATAAGGATGTGGGTAACCTGTGGAGTAAAGAAAAAAAAAATGTTTTAGGGGCACCTGGGTGACTCAGTCAGTTGAGTGTTGGACTTTTGGTTATGGCTCAGATCATGATCCCTGGGTCATGGGTTTGAGCCCTGCATTGGGCTCTGTGCTAAGCGTGGAGCCTGCTTAAGATTCTCTCTCTCTCTCTCTCTCTCTCTCTCTCTCTCTCACTCTCTCTCTTTCCCCTCCCCGCCCCTCTCCCCTGCTCATTCTCTCTCTCAAAAATAAACATTTTTTAAAAAAACCACAAAAAAAAAAAAAAAAGAGGCTTAAGGGATTAAAATAAACCCCAGAACACACAGGGCTATTTTTAGGGTCGGTTTCAATCACTATTATATTTTAAATGCCTTTGTTGTTTTGTTGGTATGTAAATTTAGACCCAATTTTGACTGTTGACATTATTTTCCATGTATGTTTTGGTGTTTCATTTCCTCTCAATATTTAGGTAGACTTTTTTTCTCTTATGACCCTGTCCAACTTCCTTGTTAAGAATTTATTGTTACATTTTTGTTATTGTTTTAGAACTCTGCTCTAGGTATTTATTATAATGGGAATAGATTTTATAATAATCTCTGTTTTAGTCGGGAATGGGAGAGGTGGGAGGTAGAACACCCAACCTGGAGACTTTATTTAGGATGATGTTTCTTATAAGAGACTGGCATAAAGTTAATGATTGGTGCTTCTGTGTTTTTTTATCTTTTTGAGTAAGGATAATAGAGAGTTTTATATATTTTTACCCACCATCAGACAGTAGCTTTTTTTAAATAATTTTTTTATTATT